GCAACAATGAATGAATGGAATTCCAAAATCTCTGTAGATGTTCATTGAAATTAATAATAGTAAATTACATGGAAAAAAGTAATAAAATAAAAAAAAAATAACTTCTCACCACTGGACTGAGAGGCAACATCACGATAGATAGAAAAAAAGACTGACACTGTCAACAACTTCATCTTACTTGGATCCACAATCAACACCCTTGGAACCAGCAGTCAGGAAATCAGGAAACACATTACACAGGGGAAGCCTGCAGTCAGAAACCTCTCTAAATTATTGAGGAACAATGATGCCAGTTTGAAGACTAACATGTATATGATTCAGTCTATGTTCTTTCCGAACACTTGTTATGCATCTGAGAGGGGACAATGAATAAGGATGACAGAAGAAGAATTGATACCTTTGAGCTGTGATATAGGAGAAAAGTCCTGAACATCTCACGGACTGCCAAAAGAACAAACAGATGTGTTTCACAGAAAGTGAAGCTAGAGTGTTCTTTGGAGACAAAAATGATAAAGCATCTCACATGCTTCAGGCATGTTGCTAGGGGAAGCAATTCCTTGGAGAGGGACATCATGCTTGGAAAGGCAGAGTGTCAGCGAAGGAGAGGAAGACACTCAACCAGATGGCCTGATACAATCACTGCCACAATGGGCTCTAGTATATCAGGAAGCATGAGGATGGTATGGGATAGGGTAGAGTTCAGATCTATTGTTCATAGGGTCACTATGGTTCGTACTTGACTCAATAGCACCTAATAACAACAATAACAGAACTTACAAATCAGGTAGAACCCCATTTATGGAAGCTGCTCTTCAGCATTTACTGATCTGCAGCTAAGTCTCAGGACAGGGCACTTCCTCCTCTGGCTGCTAAGCTCGCCACCCTGCTGTCCTGGAAAGGCAGCTGGGCTGGCCTCTGTGGTACCCTCACCCCAGTAGGACCTCTCCTGGCTGAACCCAGAACTTACAGTTCTAGAATCAGAATGACGTCCGTCTTGTTCTCATAGACCTCATGTAGGGTGATGACATTAGGGTGCTGGATCTCCTTCAGGATGCTGACCTCCCTCTCGATGTCCTCGCGGCTCACCCCCCGCCGGCTGGACCGCGTCCTCCTCTTCTTGATGAATTTGGCTGCATACTGGAGACCCGTGCTCTTCTCTCGGCATTTCCTCACAACCGCAAACTGCCCACTAGGGAGAAAGAGTTGGTCAGTGGTCATTTAGAGAGTCTTTAAAGTCTTCTCAAAAAAGCATGTGGCCTCAAGGACAAGAGAACAGCAAATAGGAGAGCTGTGAAGTTTTCCACTTGTGAGAAATAATCAGATTAAGAAGGGGGGTTTCTTGTGTCTTGTCTTTCAGTTTTATTAAGACCCTTACCTAACAAATACAGGAAGCAAAACTGTTCTCTTACATAACTTTTTGTGAAATGGGTGCTGATGGCTGCATTTCTTACCCTCTGTCCTTCAGAGTCAACAGCAGCAAGAACCTCCACCCCCTGAACACACTCCTGGGAGTTTCTTCCTTTCTATTGAGTAATAATACTCAATAGGATTAGACAATACTCAAAGGATTAGACAGCAGGGCTTGGGTTGAAAAATATACAGGGCCTACTTCAAGAACGTATTTCTAGTGCTTGTATTTATAAATTTAAATTCCTAGAACAGAAAAATCTACATTTTCCTATTTTGTTCACAGTCCAGTAACCCCTGCAAACTAAATACTTGTTTGTAGCATCTCCAGCCAGCACATTCCCCTACTATTCCCTTGCCAATAGTGTCTCTCTCTGGAAATTCTTGAGGTTTCGAGGAAGGTGACTCCAATCCCATCTATATATATGGCCCGTGTGACCTATGCTCACTTTACATGTGCACTTATTCTTCCAGCTCCCTTTACAGAGATACGACCTATGACCTTTAATAGTGAATATCAAGATTGTGTGGAGAACGTGGAGATGAAGTCGTCTTCTTGCATTACCTTCTTTTGTGACTATAACCATAGCAGCTGTTGGCAGTTATCGTGGGATCATGAGTGGAGCTGCTCTTGGGAGAAGCAGAGCACTGCAGAGGCAGATAGGACAAGTGCAAGGAAACCAGGTCTGTGGTGACAAGATGGAACAGATGGGTCACCTGAAGCCATCTGGCCATAGGTTTGTAAATTACAGGGACTTTTTTTTTAAATTCCCTTTAGTTGTAAAAGTTAATTTTACATGTCAACTTGGCTAGGCTATTTGGTCAAATACTGGGCCAGCAGCTGTTAGGAAGCAGTTACATGTGAGTGAGTAAACTGGCCTCAGGTAGAGAGAGCACTAACGGCATAGTAATTAAGAGTTGGGCAGCTAACTGAGAGACAGGAGGCTGGAATCCCTCAGTCACTCTATGAAGGAATGATGTGGGAGGCTGCTTCTGTAAAGATTTACAGCCTTGGAACCCTATAGGCAAGTTGATTTCATCCCATAGGGTTGTTATGAATTCGCATTAATTTTATGTGGACTTACTTTGGAGATGTTGTTAGGAAAGGCCAGTCCTTGGGAAAAGACATCATGGGTGACAAGATGAAGGTTCAGTGGAAGAAGAAAAGATCCTTAATTAGGTGGATTGGCACAGTGATTGCAACAATGGGCTTGAGTATGTGAGGGACTGTGAGGATGACTCAGGATAAGACAGGGATCAGAGTCGTTGTTCATAAGGTCACTATTGGTTGTAGTTCACTCTACAGCACCTAACAACAACAACAACGTGGATAAGCCTCCATCAATCATTTGAAGGCATTGAGAGCAAAAAAGGAGATTGTATGAAGATATTTACCCAGAATGTTCATACTGGTCATTCTTCTTAGTATTTGACCTATGGATTTGGGGACATCAAGTCTTCAGCCTGTCACCTGACCCACAGCCATGTGATTAATTTCCTTGAGCTGCATCTCTACCCATCTACCTAAATATTTGTTTTGTTTGTTCCTAACTATGTCTGTTTCTCTGGAGAACCACAGGTAAGATAACAGTTAAAGCTATCCTGACTCAGGATTTTTGTTTCTCTTAGAAGAATAATACACATATAACCAGATCCTTTTTCCCATTTACAAAACAGGAACATCAGAGAAACAGGCATAAAACAATAAAGTAAATAGATAAGCAGGAGAGGTTGTGAGCAGTGAGCACCTTCCCAGAAAGAGGCAGTCCACAGAAGCCCCTTCTGGAGCCACAAGAGCTTCGTGTGAGCCCCCTGCCTCATCCAACAGAACCCAGGTGTGTCTGTCCTTCCATCCCATAATTCCTTTGCACTTACTGGAAAATGCCATGTGTAAAATTATCACAGTTTTTTTAGCTAGTTTTCATTTCTTTACAAAAAGGGAGAGAAAAATCAAATTTAGGATAGTATTTTGATGTTAAAGAAAGGATAGCTTGAAATGACACTAATGCACTGCAAGCAGTGGGCCAGTGAAGGATTTTTAAGGCTGTGTCAGATTTTCTGCATGACTTGTTATTAATCCCCTCTTCCTCACCCTGTAGTGGCAAAACAGGCAACTGAATTCAAAATCATACTGCTGAGTTCCCCTAGAAACTCCCTATTATGAGCAGTCCTGCAACTATTTCAAAGTAGAGTGTGAGAAACTGGGCTTCTCAGCTGCGGCCCGAATTGCATAAACTCTCAACTGTGAGCATGGTGGTTTGAAACCAGGATCTTCAAAGATATAAGAGGTTGACATGAGGTCAAGACCAAATGAGTGAAAATCAAATTAACACCCTTTCTGCTGTCCTATAGATTCTATTGAGAGAAGTGACTGCTGGGTCTTCTTAGTACTAATCTATGGAAGCTGACCACCAGGCCTCCTCCGACTGTGCCTGTGGGCAGATTCAAACTGTCAACCTTTTACATGCCACTTAGAATCCTTCATATTCTGACAGCATTGTAAGTTACATGTTGAGCTGATAACTGATTCGAATCCATCAGCCACTGGGAACAAGATGTGGCAGGCTGCTTCCATAATGAGTTACGTCTTTGGAAATTCTATAGGGAAGTTCTACTCAGCCCTGAAAGGCTCCTATTAGTCACAATCGACTCTACAATAAAAGTATTGGGTTTCACATGGCCGTGTGTGGGAGCCATAAGCCAAAGCCTACCAGGTCTATCAGAATGTGGCTAAGCCAAGGGAAGGCTTTTCCCCTGTAGGCTCAGAGAGAACACTACCTTACCCACACATCCTGATGGACATGGGCCAGACCTCCAGGACTGCAAGTCATGCAAATATTCTTAGAAGGCACCAGTCCATGACACTTTGTTACAGCAGCCCAAAGGAATGAACACAGTTGCTACTGATGGAGAGAGGGGCAAAGATGAAAAAACTCTGTCTTTCATTGCTGTCAAGTCAGAAATGACACACAGCTGACCCTCAAGCAGGTTTCAGAGCCTGTAAACTATACAGGAGGAGACTGCCCATCCTTCTCCCATGGGGCAATTGGTGGATTTGAAGTGCCAGAGAGGCATAGTCTTTGAGTTAACAGCTCAACTCCATATGGACTATACTGAGGGAAGGAATCCCACAGATAATGAGAAAAGAAAATGAGTAAAAAGGGAATATTAAAACAAGTATAGCTCCCACACTGGTGTCTACTGCTGGCAGCTTGCACACTCCTCCTCTCTTCCCGCTGAGAGCAGGAGATGTGCAGCTACCACCTTCCCTGCAGGACTGGCCGTTCTCAAACTCTCAGGACACACTCAAGACAGGACACACTCAGGAAACACTCAGGGTAGGCCACTCTCACACACTCAGGAAACACTCAGGGCAAGCCACTCTCACACACTCAGGAAACACTCAGGGCAGGCCACTCTCACACACTCAGGATATACTCAGGACAGGCCGCTCTCACACACTCAGAACACGCTCGGGACAGGCTGCTCTCACGCACCCTGGGCAGACCACTCTCACACACTCAGGATGCACTCGGGACAGGCCGCTCTCATGCAATCTGGGCAGACCACTCTCACACACTCGGGATGAACTCAGGACAGGCCACTCTCACACACTCAGGATGAGCTCGGGACAGGCCGCTCTCATGCACGCAGGAAAGGCCACTCTCACACACTAAGGATGAGCTTGGGACAGGCCACTCTCACACACTCAGGATGCACTCAGGACAGGCCACTCTCACACACTCAGGATGAGCTCGGGACAGGCCGTTCTCACGCACTTAGGACAGGCCACTCTCACACACTCAGGATGAGTTCGGGACAGACCACTCTCACACACTCAGGATGCACTCAGGACAGGCTGCTCTCACACACTCAGGATGAGCTAGGGACAGGCCACTCTCACGCACTCAGGAAAGGCCACTCTCACACCCTCAGGGCCAAAGGTCTCAAGAGCCCTTGATGGTTTTGAGTATGCTGCTTAAAAACTAAACCAAGGGGTAAAAACATTTTCTGTAGGGCAGCCTTGACTCAGAAATGAACTTTGTGCATTTTTGCTGCCAAAAGTTCCACAATGAAGGGAGGGGTTTTTCAAGCCTCAGTAGGCCTAGGGGCAGACAAGGCAAAGCCCGCAGTCTGGGCTGTGCCAGCACACTTGTGTGACTACACTATCACGGGGCGTAGACTTCACTTCCTCACCAGCAAGTCCATCTCCCTCTCAAACTTCTGGATGAGAAGAAAGGAACGCTGATGAGAACAGGGGTTAACAAGACTGAAGGCAAGAGAAGCTTGACCCAAGAAGGCCTGATGCTTCCTCATTGCTGGTTCCCAACTAAAACTAACTGCAGCAGGTCTAAGATGTCCATGTGCCAGACTCATCTCAATGCCAGCCCTTCATAGACATCTCTGCATCCTTTCTCAGACTCCTCACTGATCCACCCCCTACTTCCTTGCTTCCTTCCACACTCTTGATCCCGTAACTCTTTCTATTGCTCTTACAGTAGTTAAAGCTCCTGGATTGTTGAAATAATTTTCACTTGATTACTCTGGTGGCCTGGTAGTAAGGAATTGTACTACCAACCCAAAGGTAAACAGTTCAAATCCAACAGCACCTCCACAGGAGAATGGGCAATCTCCACCCATGTAATTTACAGCAGAGACCCTCTGGAGGTTCAGCCATGAGCTGGTTGTGACTCAATGACACATCAAGCCCCCTACCCCCCAAATGGTGTTGGCCCGAGTCCACGCAGTGACACCACAGAGGAAAGGCAAGGCAATCTGCTT